GCAAGAGAAACAGGTCCCAAAACGGTCCCTATTAACGCCCATCTGAGTGCCAGCCCAGCTAAGAGGAAGATTTGTGAGTAGGAACTGACGAATGACCCTGCCAATTCTGTCCTGCCAGCAGGTTCCAGGGCAGAGGTTTGTGCTCAGTCTAAGGGAAAGCAACGTTAGAGCTTCAGATCTTGTCTCCACAAACGATATCTTTTCTTGACTGAATGGCAGTATGGATGAGGAGGGACTCCAAGCTCATTCTTGCATCTGGCCATAGGAGTAGTGCATTGAAGTGTATGTATTTTTCCTTTAATTCGAACACAAGGTGCGGTTTCCATTACAGATTTAGCTGACAGATTTCCAGGCAAGGGAGAAATCCTCAGGGAAGGATTTCAATCATGATGCACAGAGGCTGAAAAGCATGAGAAGTAGGCAGTGGCTGTAGAACCAAACAGCGCACCAAACAACGGTGAAGTAAGACAAATGACCCTTCCTATTTCCAAACCTGAAATCTCCTCCCAAGCCCTGTACCTTTTCAGCTGGCCCATCTACAGCACAGCTCGCAGGGGTGCAGATCCTGGCAGAAGCAGAGTCAGCAACATGGAGAACAAAGCCAGCTCCTCATCAGCGCATCGCGCAAGGTCAAAATTAATAAATCCGTGAATGGATTGAGATAGCTTATACAAGCTCCCAGGGGCTTTTCTGACAACTAGAGCACAGAAGAGGTAACTTCACATCCAAACATAGGGGTTATTTCAGCAGGTGGCCCGCGGCATACGGCTGTCACTGCCAGCTGTCGTACCTGCTCGGGCAGCCTGCCATCGCGTTAGGAGTCATGCATCTGCACAAGGACAAATGAAGGAAGAAATGGGTGGCATCGATCCCCCCCATTCTCCCACCCCGAACTCATTCTGGTCACCCACACCTCCATGGCTGTGACACACACTCCTGCCTTTGGTGAGACCAGGTGTGAAGAGAAGTTCTCCATCTAAGCCCACTATCAAGATAACACCTCGACCAGCCGCTGCCGACAGTTCCTTTAATGCTGCTCTATTTCCAGAGATTTTTCTTCAGAAGGTGATGCAGTTTTTCCTTTCTCGGGTATTCTTATGTCCTGTGCCTGCTGGGCTGTCTTCAGTTCTCATGAACACAACCAATGTTTTCTTTTTTTTTTTCCCTGACAGCAGCAAGTGGGCTGCTGAATGCAAAACAGTCTCCTTTGAGAATTCCCTCGCCAGAGCCTTCTGATGATGGGCAGAGATGTGTTACTTGTATGACTTGATTAACTTGTTAACCGAGATGTCTTCTTAAGAAATATGCACTCAGAATAATGTAAGCCAGGAACAGAATCATGAATCTGAGAGCTGCGTCCAAGGGCTAATTTCAAGAGGGTCTGTCATTAAGGAAGGCCCTTAGAAAATGCAGCTACTTCTGAAATACAACAGGTAAAGAAGAGGCCATAGGAAAGGTAACTCAGCCAATACCAGCAGTGTCAGGCCACTCTGAACTGCTAGACAAATCTCTCCCATATTGGAGGGAAATGGACAGTTCAGGAAACGTCCATGTCATTTTTCCTGTGCGTTTGATCTCCAGGTTCAGTCCTCCAACTACATCCTGGAAGGAGGCACAGAGGAACAGCTTGTTCCCTTGGTCTCGTCTTGGTTCTGCTTTGCTGAATGTTACTGCTCTTTCAACTTTGCCTCATTGTTTTTGCCAAAAGCATTGCCTCCTGATGTAAAGTGCTATTACAGGTCTTATTTTTCTGGCAGTCAGACATGAAATCATCCAAGAGAGTTCTGTGGTTTGCAAAGTAGCTTAAATCATCTCTTCTTCCCAAACTGTGTCTCTTACCAGCCATCAAACCCCCTTTCGTGTTAATAGGGTTTCTGCACTCAGGCCTGGCCACACCGAGGCTGATGGTTAGGAAGGTGGCAGTGTTTTGGTTGCTCCACTGAGACTGTCAGTAATTCAAATTAAATTGGACTTTGGTTAGGTGGGTAATTCATCATTTGCAGTGTGACAACAATACCTGTAATTACTGCTCTTATTGTTGCGGTTGAAATTCATGTGCAATAAAGGGAACTTAATATCATGCCAAACCTCACAGTTAATTTAGGTTCCATCTCCTTTCATTTATTCTGTAATAAGCTAATTAGTTCACATAATTTGCCATTGAACGTGCCTTTGCAACAAATATATACATGAATTAGCCTATTACACAACAAATGAGGGGAATCAAAACATGAATAATTTGCAAGATTACATAAGGAATTATTATCCTTTCAAACACCCATGGATGCAGCCATTATCTTTATTGCTTTAGGAATTTATTATTTACACTAGGTTGGTTCTCATGTCTGGTGCCTCTGACTTACTCTTCTGCTTGGAAGGTCAACAACACATTTCACTGTTTGATCCGCCCCGCTGCCACGTGCCAGGCTCCTTGCACGTTCAGGATCACTACCATGAGGTTAAATGTCTTTCAGCTTGGCTGCTGAAATCCAAGTTTGGGCAGCTGAAAGAGCTTGGCCATGCTGCTGGCATGCCGCCTTGGCCCACCATTTGTAAGAAGGTCCTGGAGTAGAGATCTTCAGATTTTCTTGTCAAAGTCTGCTTTGGGTTTTGTTTGTTCCCAGTCTGCCCAGTATCAAACTGCACCCTTGGAAACTCTTGGGCACAACTTGCAGTCACCGCCCTTGGAAACTTCCTTCTAAATCTCACCTGTGGGGCTCGTTTCGCCAACCTCCCTTCTGACAGCTCTTAAACCATGTCAGATGTCCAACTGATTTGGGATAAATCATGAGGGACGCTCTATCCAGCTGAGTCCTAAGACTGCTATTATGCAAACCGGAGGCTTGCCAGACCTTGAGGCTCAGTCCACCATAACAACTCCTGCACAATACCACGCATTCATTATTCCCCAGAAGTGATCAGGACCATTGGACCCATCTCACCCAGAACACAGCAGAATGCTTTCTGCCCAGTAATTCAATACCAATTCACAGGGAAGCTCCTGAGCTACCAAACCCATCAGTTCTACTTTCTGCAGCACTTACTTTGAGGCCTCATCTAACTGCTGACCTGGTGCTACCCAGCTTCAACTATTAAATGTAATGAGAGCACAACTCAATAGCTTTATTTGCTAAATGTTCTCTGCTTACAGCAATTGTCTTGATTTAGCATCCAACCTCTTGCAGTAATGATTTACTCTTTCCATATCAAAGTTAAGCAAGCACCTTACTCCCAACAGCTGCTTCTTTACCTGGAGTTATATTGTTTTCAGCTTCTAAAAGCGAGTTCTTACTTCTAAAAGGAATAAAGATGTAAGAAGAGGTTTTGGCTGGAAATACTCCTCAGCATTTGGAGTAAGCAGCACTAAAACCAATCATAAACCTCCTGGCAGCCGCCAAAATGACCTATGGGTACAATATATCCAACTTTGCCAGACACTCTCCTCTGCCCAAAGGACTCAGCTGAAACCTCTGCCATGGCTGGTGTTTTCTTCCTGGCTTAGAACTGTACATTTGCCGGCTGAGAAAATGAAATACCACCATGAAATGAAAACTTGCAGCCTGCAGAAAGGCTCAGGAAGTAAAAAGGGAGCAGGAGCCCTCGAGAAGCACCTGCTCATTTTCAGTGCACGGGCACAGGAACTCTGCAACGCATTGCCCTCTGCCCTTTCTCTGGCATGAACACTGTTGCCCTGTGATGGGAGCCAGACGGGTTCCCCCCCACACATCCATCAATTGCTGTCAGAGAACTATGCAAGAGCAGAAAAAGGAGAATGCAAGTGCAGCCAGAGACCTATCTCCCATCCTCCTTTGATTTCCCTCGTTCCTGTATACCGCACTTACTACCAGTCAGGAATATTCAAAATTACTATGGCAGCTCCTCTCTTGACACAATAATTCCAGAAGAGAACCAAGGCATTGTTAAAAACGTAGCCTAGAGGAAACTTGGGATTTGTCTGAACCCTTCTGAATTTGGTTTTGAGCCTCTGACACTAGCAGCAGTGTGGTTCAAGGTGTGCTACTGTGACAGCATGAGAGCAGACAGGATGCTCAGAGCAAGCAATTGCCCCTTTACAACTCCCAGATGAAAACTTAAAGTTATTAGCTTCATATTATAATATGAAACTAGAAGGAAATTAATAAATGAAATTTAGAGCTCTTTTAGGAATAGATGTCACCTACACTTCAGGAGGACTAAATAAAACATAGCATCTAGCCAAAAGCATAGGCATTCTTATTAAAAACAGAAAGTGCAAATTAAAAACGGAAACCAGCGCATGGATCATTTAAAACAGGCTAGCCCTAAGAGACCACAGCTTCTGGACTGCGTGGATGGGCTATCCAATGTTCCAGAGCTACAGATGCTTTGAAAATGCTTCAGTTGCTGAAGTGTTTTTGTCACCTGTGAAGGCTCCCTCCCAGGTCTGAGCCAGAAGCACTTTGGTCTCTAGTGAAGAGCTGTATAGGTGTGCATCAAGAGAGACCCAAATTCCATGTGAGTAGCAGCTCTTCACAGGTATTCCAGACAGAACCGACCACTAGGATTATTTCTTCCTCCCTCCAGAATACCATGCTCACCAGCATAACCCTGCAATTCTAGAAACAAGCCCAAACCATCCTACATTTTAGAATGGTATCAATTCTTGCTTAAGGTCTTGGACAACACTGTTTCCTGATACGACAGCAATAAAGACCCTAACTCCTCAAAACCCCTGGGATTTATTCAGGTCTGATTTGCAGAGCTAGAACTTGCCATACTTTTGTCTGTCTCAAGAAGTATTTTCCCCCCTCTTCTAAAAAGCACTGGAAAAAATGGCTCTTCTCTCCAAATGCTCCCTTGTAACATTGTGCAGGTTATCGTCTGATTCATTTACTCGATGCGTCTTTATTTGCAGTTTCACACAGCTGTGAGCAAATTCCTTTCTCCTCTGATGCATCTATCAAAGTCTTCCCAAGCAAAAGGTGACAAAACAAAGAGAAAAATATTTAGGAGACTCTTACCTGAAAAATAGCTATCCAGGCATATCCAATGTTATCAAAATTGATAGCTCCGTTGTGTGGGTTTACGTCTCCTGCCATGCATACGTTGTAATACTGGTTCCAGTTTATGCCGGCATT